TGAAAATTCAAGAAAACAACACAAACTCAACTTTGAAGTAATCCTGAACAACCAAATTTATATATGTTACACACGTGGGGCAAATCTTGTTACACTGTTCAGGGGAGTCTCAATAACCATCCCAAAGTACTGTTTTCTGCAAATTTTTGGTCTTTGTTTTCACCGCGATGGTTGCCAGGCGGTGAAAATGCCCCGAGGATAGCAATGACGTTTTTACTCATGATAAAAGTACTACACATTAACAGATTACTGAGTAATCTGCATCGTGGCATTAAGTATATATGACTGCAGATGACATAACAAATCACCTTTTTTTTTTGTGGCGTACTTTATAAATGCATGACGTACTTTATAAATGCACGTCTTTATGAATAAATTATGGTGACTTGCACCCCTATTGTTGACATATAGAGAAGTTGGAAATTAATACAAGATAGCGCCCTCAGTGTTAGTGCATGGAAGAAATGGTTAACGCCCTCAGTGTCAGAGTCTAGCAATTAAAATACAGCAAAGGACTGTACATACTGTAAAAACCATTTATTTTTGCTGACATTTAATTTCACTATTTCAATGTTTTGAGTATATTCACTGTGTTTTAATTTCACGAATTTGTCAAAGAAACAATGAGTTTTATTGTTATTCTACATGTAGATTTAATTTAGCGGATTTTACTTGTCAGCGAAAAATTGTGATATTGAAACCCTGTGAATAATTAATGCATTTACAGTAAATTAAATATGTTAGCGACCTCAATGTTGATCAAATGAAATTTAGCACACAAAGTAAAGTATGGAGCAAGGCATCAGCTGAACTACTTTGTATTTTTTATTCTCATTACTTTAATGTCATGGACGATATTTTGCATGCAACAACAAAACCCAAAGCAAAGTGAGTTTGAAACTTCAGTATGCTCAGAGACAAATAGAATAGAAATAGGCAGTCGCACTTGTTCACATTATGCGCCTGCATGCGTGCACAGTAAGTGGTTGGCAAGACACGGTGGTTAGCATCAAAAGATTAAACAATAACAATGTTTGCTGCTGTAGTTATTAAATATACATGTGTACCTGTTAATTAAATAAACTTATTGGTAATGTGGCAGCGGGTCAGTGAGCAACTTTTATTATCAGATATGTGCATGCTGATTGGAAAAAAATAGAAACAATGACGTCACAGAGTGACAGCCGACAGTGGTAAGAAAGCTGGTAAGCGTGAAATGACAGGCAGGTTAAGAGAAAACAGCAAATGAGAATGTTTTACCATCCATCTCGGTCAACTTACAAATTTTGTACAACGTGAAATAAAACAAATAAATTACAAATTGTCATAGGAATTTGGAAGCAATGTCAAAATGCTTGATCCAGATGCAGAATTAGCAAACATCTGTTTTCAAATCATCATCCCATATGTCCCATGAATGTCAGTTTTGGTGGAAAAAAAAAAAACTTAGAAAGTACTGCTGTGTGCTATAGTAATTGGCAATGACTGAAGGCATGAAATACTTGTGTAAAACACGTCTTTTAGCTGGCATGTTATTTTAGCTAATTTATAGCTACTGCTGTAATCTATAATTTTGCTAATTCAAAATATCACTAATTTAAAATAAAGTACGTTAAGATTAATAAATTAAGATTCTGTTAATTTTTGCATTGAGCGAAATCCGCTAAAAAGGCAAGTAGCTATTTTAACATGTTATACAGTTGATAAAAGAAATATTTATGTCAGTTGAGTCAATATAATACTTGTTGCTTTTCCTGATTGTGTAATTTGACTTTTTATGGATGAAATCTCCACACATATGCAATTCATTGTCATAATTGCGACATCAAATCACTGCTGTAATATTCATAGTCACGTCACCTTGTCACAATCAAAATTTGATGGGAGCAGTTTACATACAACTAGACATGAAAGGAAAGAAGCTTTATTGTTAGTGTTCATTATAAACCCTACATTCCTATCTATTTAGTGGTTCTTGAGATACCAACTGAAAAGCTTAAAATAGGCTATATATTATGCAAGTAAGTCAATTATAAAATACCAGGATGTGTGACCTTTAAGGGTCAATATAAAATACCAGGATGTGTGACCTTTAAGGGTCAATATAAAATACCAGGATGTGTGACCTTTAAGGGTCAATATAAAATACCAGGATGTGTGACCTTTAAGAGTCAATATAAAATACCAGGATGTGTGACCTTTAAGGGTCAATATAAAATACCAGGATGTGTGACCTTTAAGGGTCAATATAAAATACCAGGATGTGTGACCTTTAAGGGTCAATATAACATACCAGGATGTGTGACCTTTAAGGGTCAATATAAAATACCAGGATGTGTGACCCTTAAGAAATCTAGACGAGAATTAAAGTCAGTCCTTAGGATGGTAAATCATGCTAACAAGTAAGATATCTGTGAACACCACAAGTAGAAAACCAAAATATACTTGAATAATTTGATTTGAATGTGCACATTTTAAATTTACAAGCAAAGAAAGTTTGACCTTTGGTTTTTTGTTAGCCATTTTGTCAAGAAAATAAATCTACTTGAGGTGCTCACAGATAACACAGAAAACAATGAATGGATAAAAAAAAATAGAGGAACCTGGATAAAAAAAATGAAGGTAGACAAGATTTAGGAAATTTGCTTGTATTTGGTGAAAACATTGTAGAGAATACGGAGAACAGATTTCACATGATGCTGTGCTATATCTATGAATGAAAAAAAAAATACATAGAAATGATAGGTTACAGATAGAGTGGGCATTTTGATGAAAACATAAAAAACAAAAACAGTCTAGTAAAAAATATGTATGTCAAATACCCGTAACGTAAAACTGAGATAGATGTGAAAGCAATAATAGAAGAACCCTGGCAGAAACAATGAGTTTGTACAGGAAGTAAATTTAATGGGGGCCTACAGGGACTACCAATTCTGTTGCCAGGGCTACCATTTCCACAATCGACAGCTCAACTGGACTACTAGAAATTTACAAATAATAAATCTGGTAATATAGAAATCTAACTAAGTAAGGGTCATTCTGTGCGAGGTTTCAAGTTCAAAATCATAGATCAAACTATTGGTACCCATCATTATCATTCAACTACTGTGGAATACTTTATTTTTGCTTGGAATTAATTTTCGCTATTTTCGCTGATTCAGTGAAAATAAAATCCAGCGAATATACCTTTTTCCTATATTTTGCATTCAACTCGTCAAAAATTAGCGAAAATTAATTCCAGCTAAAATAAATTATTTTACAGTACCAGATTTTTAAATAACTGACTCGCGTAACTGACCTGGGTAACCATGATATATGCGGAAGCAACAGTGGCAGAAAATGAAACACTAATGGGAGTGGCGGGGGAGCAAAAACAAATAGCTTGCCTTTCTCATTTTCAACGAGATCAGATCAATTGGTAGCTAACTTACTCAAAAAAAATTATTTTGAGCATTGTAAAATAAATATAATTCAGTAAATAAAACATTTTGCTACTATTTTAGGAGATTGTAGGCATGGTTGATGTTGAAACATCCTGGTTCAAACAAATAAGGAATAAAAAGAAGTTTGAAAAATGTCTTGTTTCAAGAATAGCTCCATGTTTAGCCAAATTGTTCTATCATAAACAATTATGAGTAATTTTTGGAGTAAAATCATTTGTTTTTGCCATTGCTTATGCAACTCTGTGCGAAAAATACCTTTATTTCTTGACAAATTTGGCTGAACGCTATCCTCAAAAAGGACTATGAATAGCACCCTCTAAGACAGAGATATGGGAGATTGTTTTTGAGTTAATGTCTTACCTTCTGGTCTTGCCTTGGGCTTGGGAAGTCCAGCATCCTGCATCAAATCCATGGCAAACTGTACATTGTGTACCTACACAGAGAAATTAAGTACTATGAACTATTGTAAAAAAATAATCGGAGGATGAAAGTAAAAATTTAATATTGCCTGTCCATTGAACGATTTATTAAGAATAATACTAGTATTGTTTTTCTCAATCAACAAGGTACTTGACCCTAACATAAATCAATACATTATTTGAAGAAAAAAAATTCATTGTTTTTTTACCAATTTATTTCAAAGATGATGAATAGTACAAAAGTACATTTACAGGCCCTGAAATAAAAGTGTGACAGTTGGGTAAAACATTTATATCTTTTATTCCTGCTAAATTTTCCGGTCCCAGATAAAATCTGACAGATTCCACATCTGATAGAACCTACAGTAATTTTGCAAAATATATTTTGCAAAAATCACAACATTACAGTAACAGTGATTGATTTATTTTTTTATTTTTAAAGTATCTGGAACAACATAAAAAATAAAATGTCTCACACTAGAAATTGACCGGGTTATTCTAAATGGACAATTTAATAGTTGATGCAGCCATGTAATGTGAAATGTAGTCGAATTTGATGTAAACAAAGAACGCACTTGACCAACATATATACCGGTACTGTAAAGCATTTAATTTTTGCTGTTAAAAATTTGAATCACGATTTGAAAAATTTATGGCACTCATGAAGATAAAATTTTGCGGTAGGAACTGACACTATTTGTTGTAGGACCTCTAGAAATATGAATGTAGATTAAATCTTACCTTGTGATCAAAAGAAGTTGGTGTCAGATGGTAACAGAATAGTGGTACAAAATATCCTTCTAACAGTCCCATTAGTAAAACAAGATAAACACCATCATGAAACTGAGAACAGAAAAAAATCAATACAAAAAAGTTTCATTCAAAGTTTTGCAGGCATATTTCAAACACAAATAACAGAGCAAGAATGATTGGATGGTGCCTTGTAACTGGAAGGCTGCCACTGATCACAACAAATTAATATCAGGAATTAGATATTACTAAAGTATCCTCGAAAATCAGATTAAAGGGTGGTAGTGGTCAAAAAACATGTCTTTGAATCTCGTGTTAACACCACAAGTAGTATTTTACTAGCGTTGTGTATGTTGCTATGAGTTCTATATAGAACAGAACAGCCCTTTGAACTACCATACAGTCAAAAAAAATTGTTATATTGACTCATGGCAATACATTTTTGTCATTTTGACACTACAAATAATTTGTTGCAAGAGAACGCGATCGATGAAGGTTCACTGTAGTTTGATGATCGATGACAATACAAATCTTCTATTATTGGAGCGTTCTATCCCGTACTCTCAGTATCAATTAGATCTCGGCATCCATTCGCTTCTACGTTCCATTTCTGCAATCTTGCGCAGAAAGTAACCTGGGTGGGCAGTCATAAAGAACACCATAGTTGTCATGCCACGGTGTCTTTGATATCGGTGCCATGCGACAATTACGTGTGTAAAACGCCTTGTTAACAAATGTTGTTTGAAGACAGGTATTTTTAAAACACTGCCACACACAAAATCCTAGCTATAGACCATATGCACTACCTGTTAAAAGCCACACATCCTTTCACTTTCCGGGAGCACTCTAGCCCTATAACAGTATAATCTTGCTAATAGTTAAATTTTGAGACATTTAAATTGGGGGGAGTCACCTATCTATGCAGCGGATGATCACAATGTGTTGTTGTTTAGAAACAAGCATCTCCCCATGAGCTTTTGCACTTTTAGTCATATTGTTGCTTATAACCTAATTATGCAAGTGTGCAGATGACTACCCCTCTGCTTTAACAGTTTTTGAATTTCAGCTTGCATTTCAGGGGGACAGGGTAATAGAGAAATTCTCATCAATAGTGAATTTGTACCACCAGAAAAGTACCAGGACCTTTTGGGGTCATATACAAGGCATGATATTAGACTCACCTGAGAATCCAAGTCAGTCACTTCAAGATTAATTTTATTCAAGTGCTTGTTGACAAATGTGATAAGTGACTGTGATAAAATGGAAACAAATCTGGTTAATAGTACATAAACACTACCATATTTTGGAAGGCGTGGGTCACATTTTTAGATTACACAATGACCTTGATTGGAAGCGGTTAAGCCCATATGATGATTCTGTTCTCAGGAAATGACAGACATGTAATTAAGAGTATGACCAAATTTGGAAATAGAACTTTATGATTTTTAACTGCATACTGATTTGGGTTTGTGTTTATTTTTTTTTATTAAAATGCTTTTAATTTTACATCACAAACTCTGTAACACAGAGATAGTTGCCCAATTTTTCATTGCCGAATTTAATGTCAAAATATTACCGTATTACCCCGGGCACGCGCCCCTCCCTGGGCAAGCGCCCACCCCCCTGTGTTCACAAAAGTTACATGTTGGGGACATCCTCGGTTAAAAGCCCAGGGTGATTTTTAGACAAGAACGGGGTCAACAATAAAGTTTTATTTGTCAAAAACGAACACGTTTGGTTTATTTAAATAGTGTGTTTGTTACGGTAGTTCTCTTTTTGAAGTGTGTGGTGGCCCTGAAAAGGGCCGTTTTGTTTGTGTTTTTACGTAAAAACTCATTGGAACTTAACGACGTAAGATGAACCACGCAGCATGTGGCGCACACGTTCTGCTTTCTCTTCATTCACGATGAATCCAATATTGCAATAATCCATACCTTGGTGAGTGGTTTGAAGCACATAGCTTTGGTTTCAAAACGTAGCACTTCGCTGACTGTGAATTCATAACGGAAGAGCATCGCCAGGCGATGGA